ATGTATGGCACTATGGTAAGACTCCTCCTCGTATCGCTTCTAATTGTCGTTGTAAGCACACGCCGACTTTGGGTGGAAGACGAAGGAGATCTACTGCGTAATAAACTCAACGAAAAGACACTCACTTTCACACACAAGTTTGTGTGGATCCCCCCCAGAACTAGTAACCAGAGTTGCTTCATAAAACGAATAATTAAAGTGGTACAGAGCATAACGGGAAACGTCCCTGGTATTCACTGTCTTTTCCGCTAATAAAGTAACTAGATCCTTTGGTTATAACCAATAACTAAATCAAGTTCGAATCTCAAGGTCCGAACGTCGGACAAGAAGCCACCCATTTCCAATTGTTGGATGATTCAACGCCATCACCAACGCCAGTAAGGAGATGCCCCAATGTGCGTATCATCCTCACAACCCCTTTTCCATATTAATCCCATCATATCCAGCTTAAGCACGACGAGCCTTCTCGCTGTGTCCCTTGATGACAGTGGACAAGTCGCCAACGGGGATTTGAATAGGGAAGTCGACGATGGCGAAGAGGACAGCAATGAGGATGTACCAGCCAGACATGCATGTTACGAATCCAAAGGCACCACCAGCCTGCGACAGGTCAGTAAGAGGTCAGATGTGTAGTGTAAGGGAAGACATACCACGAGGAGCTTTTGTGCGAGCTTTGCATTTCCAGTAAAGTCATCTGCCAGAGCCCAGAAAGCAGCAGTGATCATCAAGAAGCAGAAAGTCAAGCTGAAGAAGATCATGACGAAGACGACGTTGGTTCGGAAAGCGCAGATGAGGAAGATGAAGGACAAGACACCCATGAAGAGCAACCAAAAAGCTATTTATCGTTAGCAAAGGATCATCGGCTAGTACAGCAATATAGACTCACCAAGACTGGCATTGAAACCTTGGGTAGCAAGACCCTCAGCAGAAGATGTGGCATCGGCGGGAGCATAAGAGGCGTAGGCAGCAAAAGCAGGGATGAGAGTGCCACCGTAAGAGAACCAGAAACCACCGAAGGAGCAGAAGACGCAGGCTGGGAAACTGTTGCCGAGGACCCATTCGAGAATACCACCGATGATCATGAGAAGACCGCCCATGAAGACGTAGACGGCACTGATACTATTGTTAGACGCGTTTATAGGGGGTGTTAGGGGATGAAGACGTACTTTGAAGCAGCACCACTGCCACCAGCGCCTCGCCAGCCCATGAGATCGCAGGTCAGGGGTGTGAAAGCGAGGAGGAAGCCAACAAGAGCACTGCAATTGTTGTTAGTAATAGACTTCGGCATGGGGAGAAGTGAATGGAGCGTACATAGGTGTAGGGTTTCCAAATGTCTGTCGAAGATCTCCCTTGACCTGGTTCATAGGCGAAAGGTAAAGCTTCTCAAACAACTCAGGGCTCATCTGAACACTCTGAGCAGTTCGCAACCTTTTCAGGCTCTCCAGGCGCTGAGCCTCAGGGTCGAAGCCATTGAGACCATCGTGCTTCTCGTTGAATTGCTCGCTGTGCTCGGTGGTAGCGGCCATGATGGTGATTTCGTCCAGGATGGGAGATTGTTGGGAAGAGACTGATCTTTCTTAGTGAAAAGGAGAAGAGTCGCAGTGTTATATAGAATCGAAATCAGATTATGGGGTAGTGAAGAAGAGAGACAACAAGTCAACGCAGATGCAGGGACAGGGACGGACTTATATCAGGCCATAGCTCCCCTAATATATATAAATTGCAAGCTAACACGGGGACATAAGCTCAAAAGCCAAGCCTGGTCCCCCAGATTGGCACGGAACAGGGGCGCCACCCTTTGATCCGGCCCCATGTTACATCTTTGGTTCATGTTGCTTTTGCTTTTGTTTCCCCAGGTCCTGTATGGACTGTCCATCCAGTCGCAGATCTCCACCACTAGGAGAAGAGGAACAACAACGGCATCTGGGCGTCAAGAAGATCAGCCCGCCTGTCCGTCCGTCTAGAAGCACAAGTCCTGGGCCTGGTTGGCATTGGCGCCGTGTCATCCGAGTCAAGGCATGTCTTCGATTCATCAAAGCCACAGCAGGATTGGAGAAGGAGGCCTAACTCTCCGATTCGACGAGTTCTGTCTCAGTCTAACCTCTCGCAGCCTAAAGAGTGTAGCATCCTACCCCAGCTTGGCGTTGCGCGTTTGCGTTGCGGGGGAGGAATTTAGATTGGCAGCGCTAAGACCTTGAGTTGGAGTTCAAGTTCTCTACTAACCCCAGATGCCACCATCTCCACACGATCCCTTCGCCCGGCTGAGGGAGACAGGGACTAGGCAGGGAAGCAGCCTCACCGTTGATGCATTTTTGTGCGGGGGGGATTCTTTTTGGGGGAGAGTAAATGTTCTACGCGTATCAATTGCTAGTTGAGGATAGTCTAGATCGAGAGGCAAGATTGACTTTGAGTTATTCCCCGGCCAGCCGAGTTGCTGTGAGGGGAAGACACGGTGACTTGGACAAGATATAGGAGAACAGCACAACAGCGAGAACAGATCACTTACAAAACTGCAGTCTGGGGAAAGGATCAAAATTACCAACAAATGTGTATATTATGGATACGTATCAGAGATCACCGGGGCCCCGGACTGGTACTACCTCCGTGCATCTTAGAGTTGGGTTCGTGTTGGTGGTCTAAGAAGCAGAACTTCGGATCCGCTGCCAGATGAGTGGATATCACTATAGAATGGATGTACATGAGATTCACGGAGGATGCCTATAAGGTTACTGTAGTGGTGTAGGGGCAACGTGGCAGGGTACGTATAAGTCAGTGTCTGGCACAAGAAAGCTTTTGTTGATGGGTCGATAATGATGCGTGCCAGTCTAACTAGTTGGGCTGACAGAGGAGACAAGACCGGCCGTTGAGAACGCGTTTAACCTCTGTATGGCTACATAACAGTTACTTACACGTTGTAACGGTCGTTGACTGACTCGAGAAATGTAACCCTCTTCTCCAATTGAGCACTTGATATGCTGTATCTCTGCCAACAAAGAATCGAAGAGCATCTCAACAGTCAAAGCACACTTCAGCTTTGACTGTCACCTGATTCCACTCTCAACACAAAAGTCCATCGATCGTCACGTCCAAGCCCAAGAACGTGCAGAGCCTGAGTCTGAACAACTCCCTTTTCCCCATTGCCCCAGATTCTGATCCCTCTGACCCCCCTGCGACGCCCTGAGATGAGGGGAAACAATGGTTGACTGCGGCTCCGTGGTTTAGTCTTACGCTAAATCGCGGTTCCGCCTTTTAGTGAGGTCGCTAAAAATACGGTACTTGCAGTGCTGTATTTCCGGGGTTGTCGGAAGAACAAAAGACCGAGACTCGTCATCTCATTGGTCGGTGAACAACAACCAACTCACGCCGTCATTGATGGCATTTGGCCCACAAGTTCCATGTTATCAACTCGGCTCGATCATGATGATTTACACATTCAATCGCCGTTTTATAACCTCATCGTGATTACAAGACTTAATGGCTTTGTCTCCTAGTCAAAGGGCTCATCATTATCGATAAATGATCCATCATGGCTTGCTCTGGTCCCCCTGACGTTTTGCTGTTTATGGTATTGACTTACACGTCTATGCTGTCATCATGAGTAGCCCATCCGTCATGACTGTATCAACGACGTCACAGACAGAGACAGTAGAAAACAAACAGAAGGGAGAAATCCATTCTCTTCACCAAACATTGTCCAATTGATCTCATCTGACCTCTAACTATTGCTCTACAACGCATCAATTGTAAACACTCTAACATCACTCACGTCTTAAAAACACCACCAAGATGAAGGCAGTTTTCGGTGCTGGCCAACAAGGTTCCGCTGCAGTTCCCATCATTTCAGGTGTAGCAGCTCTCGGCGCAGGTGTCTACTATCTAGGCAGATCCAAGCCCGAGACCACACCTGAGCAAGATCGCAGGGGTCGCGCGGAGGCCAAAAAGGCCGAAGGACTCAGCGGCGCCGGCATTGGAGGAAATGCCGTCACAGGCGGCCACGAGCTTAGCCACGTCAACTCGAACCGCAAAGAGGGCACCACAGCACCTCCAGAGAAGCTTCCCAGCGGCGGAGTAGGCGGCGGAGTTGGCGCTGGCGGTTCCAACGTTCGAACTTCAGTTGAGATGTCTGCCAAGGACCAGCCCGGTACGTCGAGCACTTCTCATGCCAGTGGAATGTTGCAGGGCTTGTTTGGCACTGGAGGATCGAAAGCTGGTGGCGGGTCTGGAAAGGAGCCCAAGGATACGAGAGTGGCTAGCAACTACGATGGCACGCCAACCAAGAGAGACGCGACGAAGCACGACCAACACCAACCTAGAGTGGACAAATCAGGTGGCGGCGACGACAGCAATAACAAGGGTGGAAGCAGCAGCAGCAGCAGCAGCAAGAATAGCAATGACCAGTCAGCTTCGCAGTCCCTCCAGGGCGCTTTTGGACAGGGAGGAGGCAATGTCGCTGAGCGCGGTGATCAGAGCCAAGGGTTCCGTGATCCCCGAGTTGCGAGCAATCATACCGAGACGATGACCAAGAAGCATGCCAACTAGGAAGAGACGCTCAAGTATTCAAAGCAGGAGTTTCTTAAAAAAAAATATGAGCAAGTTTTACCGAGTTGCCTTGTCGGCATAATCTCCTGAAAGTCAAGGATGTCAAATCTAGAATCCTTTCGTGAAACAGGCACGTTTAGTGAGACCTAGCAACGCCATGATATTGTGTCTAGCAACATAATCCAATCTCCCGTGAGCGCATGGTTGAGTTGTTGGGCTGAAGTGACCTGCATCGCATAGCCAAGCCTCTCCCCATAATCTTTTAAGACCCATGTCCCAAGACGATCAACAAAACGTTACTAGATCTGATCTGAACTCATGTGAAAATGGAGAAAGAGAAAAAAAGGAGTGACTGCAACTTGAGCGACCAATAGAAGAGTGTCACTGCCACGCCCTCCGTGTCTCCGGATCTACCCCAGATTGCAAGTCCCGTTTCCCCATACCATCCACCATCTGCCGTGTCAAACACCTCCAGCCTGAGTATTCTGTCTGGAGAACCACCATTTCCCCGGGAACTTTTGCTCAATACTTGGTGGGTACGTCCAGAAAATGAGGAACGCAACAACTTTGTTGAGGATTCGAGCTGGCCTTGATTGATTTGGCATGTAGCGGCGCCAGAGCTTATATTCGGAGACAAGGAGAGTGTTTCCAAGGATGTTTATGAAACGAAATAACCTGATCTATTAGTGTGATTCTTTTGTTGTCGGCATTTGTACTTACGTGTTGCAAGCAATGAAAAAGATTGTTGCAATGTCTGCTGCTCGAACTCCCTCGGATCTTATCCCCATGGTCCTGACAACACCTGTAAGGGGCGGAATCCAAAGTCCAAAAATACCCATTTCTAAGATTAAAGACCAGTGATAAGTCCTCAGCTCTGTGCCCCTTACCATACTCAAGCAGAACACCCAACACGCCATGAGAAAGTTGACCTACGCCCGTCAGCACAGCACTATGCTCTTACATTCACTCACTTACCACTGTAGGTCCAAGAACCAGTTTCTCCTTTTTGTAATACTTCCAACACAGCGACGCTGCTGCAATGGTGATTGTACTCTGCGCACAGCCAACCAAAAAGTAGTACAGCAGTATCATCCGATATCGCCTATAGCACACACGATGGAACTCATACTCTTTCCACGCCGCATCCGACGTAACAGGAAACCCACAGTATCGACATACACAGACCGTCGCAAACGTTCCGAGGGTATACATGCGGCCCACGACGAAGCCTCCTCGTGAGGAAACGCAGTCGAGACACTCGTTGGCCAGAGGATATCTCGCGTCAGACTCATCGGCGTGGATGAGATGATCTCTCATCGCGTCGTAGCGAAGACAGCGAAAACATGTTGAGAGGAGTTCGAATTTGATGCTGGGGAAGACTTCGCGTATGAAAGGTTTGTTGATAGTATAGCGGAGGAGACGACATGTCCGTCGTAGAGACTCGACCTCGCCGAATGTGAGATGCTGTAGGATCATAAGTTGGAGTTCTGCTGGGAGCCGAAGAAGTTCATTTTCGGAATTTACAGCAATCAAGCTGTTATCCTTCGCCAGTTTGTGGAAGAGTTGCGGCGCTATCCTCTGAATATCTTCCTCGTCACCGCTTGTCGAAGGTGCCTTTGTGTTGCTGTCATGACTGATGGGCAAAGCCTCACCACAAAACTGCTGTCGCAAGTGATCGAGCGCTCTCACAGAAATCATTTCAACTCAGGTTTCCGCATCGCCAGTTCCCATAATGAATATTGCAAGAACTACTTCCCTGCGAAAGAACCTCACAGTGTCTCATACACACGCAAGAGGCCCGACCTTTATCAACTCTCGTCAGCTCCAACCCATCTTTCGGGCTTCTGCTGACGATTATGGGTAATTCTGACACTGAGGTCGAATATTACTCGTGAAGGAGTGTCGGATAAGCAGAGCTCGGAGTCTCCAATACAGTCAGCAGACGCGCTTACTGTCGTAAACACCACCATTCCTACTGTTCTAGGAGCTTAATACTTTATTTTATCTAGCATACCAGGGCTTTTGCCGAGAGATACTTGATTTAGTGCTGAGTAACACTCTTCTTCGTGGTGTTGGCCCAGATTAGTTGGTAGATGTTGGTTGGTTTATAAGAGACTTGGTCTGCTTGGAAGAGAGGCACAGCATGATCATCGTCATCTTAGCATTTTCTACTCGATTCCAAAACATAATTATATGAATATGGGATGAACATTCATGTTGATAATCATAAGGAGCAGTGCAGTGTGTGACTGAGCCCAGGTGCTGAACAATATCATCAACGTGAGGATTTGAGACGCGATAACTTTCTTATTTCGCGTCCTTCGCTCCAATATAAATGCTTCTCCTCAAAAGATGTTCTTCTAAATCTCGATAGCCAACCTGCTATGTATCATCCAATAAGTTTGCGCGTATCTCAAGTCCAATGAATACGGCATCCGTGTATTTTCGTCTTCAGTTACGAATGATCATCGACCAGTACTTCATGATTAGCAACGTGCAAATTCGATGCCTGGCTTCACATTAATATAATATGAGCAAGTCAGTGGATTAGTTTTGCATCATATACAAAGCATGCGACGGAGGTCGACAGGTGAAGCTTTGTCAGTCTAGGGTATTTATCAAGGAAAGTTGGCAGCGATAACTATCCCCTGCACATTTCCGTGCCGCGTCTGATGATATGGCATCTATCTGATTCTCGAGTCCATTGCAGCTTTGTGTAGAGATCAAGTTTGGTAGAAGACGCGTCAACAAGCCTCAGATAGCCTCGAGTGTTAGGAGGCCGCTGGCGTCCACACCCAGAAGACATCGCGTTGCAAAATAGCCAACGTTGAAAAGTTCTGTATCGGATGAATGCAGATTTGTTTTGAACTTGAAGTACATATTTCATTCTATGTGTCCCGGTATACATATAATCTTTGTCGTAGTATGCCTTTCTATTTATACCAGGTCTGGTTAACACGATTAATAAGGATAATAGAATATACTCTCTAGTATTCAACACCACAGTTCTGATCTCATCAGATTATCGGCCGTGTATTTCAAGCCCACACTTAGAATTGTAGTTTAGAATGATCAAGAGGGTTAGTCTTAATTCCCAGAGAGACGTCTTCCAGTCATTGATGGACTCGCCCGACCTAGAATTGAGCACACGAGGAAGACCTGCATGGGCGTTTGAGACACCTACGAGAGACGACTCTCATTGAGCTGGCAGCTTTATATGATTCCAGCTCCAGCAATCCGTTTTGCAAAGAGATCCTCGTTCAAGTCAGCAAGCCCCTCCCCAGAGGAGGCAATGATACCATCCTTAGCAACGAGTTGTATTCCATCTTTCAACTATAGGTACCACTAGGGGCCTCATCACTATGTAATGAATGTTCTGTGATATTACATATCTTGTGGCATGTAAGGAGCCGTGTTATTAAAGTGGTTCAAGAAGTATGCATTACATGCTGAAGCCCATATACCCTCGGAATACCGAAGTAGCCAGTACCTGAAGCCGAATATATCGCCTTCATTAATAGAAAAGATAGTGGTTTCTGCTGTAGTGACCGGACCCAAGAGATCTTGATTCTAAAGCCATGAGAACAGATCTGAATTAGGGCAGACTTTGTTTTGGTCAACATTCAGATCTAAGAAGTTGGCTACAGGATACTTTTGTAATCTCCTAAACTTAGCGATTCGAGGATCTCTGCATGGGAGCTCAATTAGAGAGTAGAATCAGAGGGTACGGGCAAGCCTTGAGGTTGCCTGCAACCATGACTTGAAACTCAATAGACCTGTTATGAAGAATCATCGCCACTTAAAAATTCTAATTCATGCGAAAAAAAGACTGTATGGTGCGTTTATATGGCTACAATTATTGATCATGGTTGAATGATTGATGCGAGCTGAAACTGATGGTCAATTATATATATGTATCTTACACCTATTTGGTGTTGATATTGAGCTTACAATGCTTGGGTAATTTCATTCTCATCAGTAAGTTGGGTATGACATTAAGCTCTGTCCACATAGCTATTCTATCACTTGATGCCACTACCTCAAAGGCCAATATAATTCATATCATGGCCGAGTTATTCTATACAATCATCGTTGTCTCTTGGCAATGCCTCGTTTGCCTGGTAGTTATCCGCGTTACTTATCCCTTGAAATCCGAGAGTGTCCCTTTTCTGTCAAGTATGTCTAACAATATAGCCTATGGATTATAATTTTCCCCCCTTACTACTGCACTTGATTGAGTCTGTCTGCCTTGCAGCTAATGACTACCAAGTCTATTGCTATGGGGAACATCAAATGTGCTATCTCGGATTCCCGGGGATCTGACGGAAGCTGTGAAACTCCGGCGGACCACGGCCCGGCCCAGAAAAAACCGGAAAAGATGGCGGCACCATGTCCGACGGTCTTTTCGCATCTCTTGTTCCGTACTATGTGGACATGATGACGGATTGACAGGATGACTCACCCGGTGACTCAGCTTGGTACACTATCAACTTGGCATGACCCTTGCGTCGCGCGTGTGTTTATCCGGCCAGCAGGTTCAGTAGAATATGCTGAGGATAGATCGACGGGTTGGAAACGGGGCATTGTGATAAGATACTACGTACAGGCTGCAACTAATTCTTTGAAAAAATAACACGAGATCATCACTATTGTTTTGTTTTAGATATCTTAGTTTATTGCAAGGGGCCTTGAGATCGGCATCTGTTATTAATGATTGCTTGCTGCTTGGTTCAAAGTTCCACTAATCAGAGGTCTTGTTTGATATGTAGGAATCCAGGTGCAGGATACAGACAACTAACAACTATTTCTCAGGGTTGCAATTGCCCATGTTTAAGTTGATATTCTATATCACAAAGGCTCTCACTTGCTCAGCATATCGCCATTCGAGGTCTTGGCGTTGCCCTACACAATTCCACTACCAATAACAATCCATTTGTTCTATACAATCGCCGTTGAACCTGTCAGCCTTGTCCCATTTCCAGACTCCAGAGCGCCTCTCGGATTTCCTATACGATAAAAGCCGCGGCCCGGGCGGACCTCAGCACGGCCCCACACGGACGGGACCATGGCAGAAGATCTGGCCTTGACTCTTTGACCTCTGTTTTTTTTTTTGTTGCTACTGGTAGAACGGCACTGGTCACTATGACGAATTGCTAAGATGCTTGTGGCGTGATAACACAAACGAGGTAGCCCCTTAGCAGCCCGTGTGTTTTTCTAGTTCAGGTCTTAATTAATGACAGGTCATTGACAGCTTTGCTAGCCTTTGTGGAAGCCGGCGGGAGAGTTTTTTGCCACCTCTTCCAAGTATTAGCAGAGGTTTACCGAACTGCCAAGGAGGAAATTTCGGCCTACTTTGCAAGGTATTCTCATCTCACGCGATATTGATCCTCTCTGCGTTCCCAATGGTGCATTCCTCCCATGTGCGTTCGCCGAAGCTGCAGTATGCAAGAGATCGATAGCTCGACAACTCCCCATGTCATGCCACGCTCTGCCAGGGATTAATAGCACCATAGTCCGTAGAGCTGCTGAAGATCTCGATGACAGCCGCATACTCTGCCCAGAAGAAGGAAAGGGAAGCACCAACAGACCCGAGAGTCCGGCTCACTAGACAGCCATGCAAGGAACGGGAGTGTCCGTTCCCAACCCCTCGGGAGCAGCGGAGCTTTGCCATAGGTCCCCGATACGTGTGATCCCTGGACGTCAGGCAGCCACCTCCGTCGACACCAGGTTAGAAGTGTAGATGCCGCGGCGATGCCGACGCGCAACGCGACGCCCGTCGCACTGCGTTCCGGCTGCGTGGAACAGGTCCTGGTAGGAAAACAAGACGATGTTACGCTCTAGAAATCCCCTTATGCTTCGAGCTGCAGGAATATTATCTAAAAGATTGCAATTATGCCCCATTGGAGGCTAGACTGACATTAGCTGGGCCTGCTTTCCAGGTCCAGTGCGTTCTAGACCACCGCAGCACGAGCCTGTAGACTGTAGACTGCAGACTGCAGCATGCATGCATGCATGCTGCACGCACGAATGGGGACGCTTTTGTTTTGGTCCTGCGAGAAATGAAACCCAAGACGGAGACTGAACTGAAAGATAATCAAACCCAAATGCTCGGCTTCATTGCACATTGAGAAGTCCATCCAGCCATTCGGGAAACCGTTCTGGTGAGGCTAACGTTTACGGCTCGGGTCGCTGCGCTAGCGCCAAGAATGCACTGCTCGTATTGGGCCCCCGTCTCCTACTCAGGGCTCCGTTGCGAATAGCTTCAAAGCCGCCAAACTCTACCAATTACCGTGCCTTGTGCCTGTAGCCCGCTGCTTTTATCCAAAAGGGGAGAGTTTGGTTCTAACCCAACGGTCAGATTCCTTGCTGTTAGCTAAGCTCGGGCCCTCTCTTTGCAACGCCCTCCAAGGACTGGTCAAGATCAACTCTCTGTGCCGTGTGCCACCAAACTCTATACTCAACCCGTCAAAGACATTCTTACCCACAGCGCAGAACATCTCCGTCCCCCCCCTCTCGTCCATGATGCACATGCCCAAGGGTTCTTCACTGTAAGGCAGGGAAAAGGGTCCATGGGTAGGCGAACTTTTTCCTGTCAGCTGAGGGTCCAGACTCTAGTATGCATTGACGCAATGCAGGGCACTTTGTTAGGAACCCCTCTTTGGCATCATTTGCCATGAAGAGGCTGCCTATCTTGGACG